ATCTTCCACTGCTTGTATAGCAGTGCACAGAGCCAGAGCACAGCACTCAGTTTCACAATGCAAAGCAGATTCAATCATTCAAAAAGCTGAACACATACAGAGCATGAAAACTTGCAAATATGGCCCAACCAGAGCCAAAGTCTCAAGTCAAAAACTAAGCAGAAATGATGTGGTTGACCGATACCCATTGCATTGCACTGGTGATTTATGTTTACATGGTGACCGATACCCATTGCACTGGTGATTTATGTTTACATGCAGAAACAGAGGATTACAGCACATGGAATGGGAGCAGCTTTACAGTGGAGGGAAAGTGTCATTTCGCCATGATTCAGAAGGAGGTTAAGTATTTGAAACAAAAACACATTTGAAGTGGCATAACAAGACACAAACCAGAGACAATCCTAGACACCTCAATTTAGCCTAAATGCCAAAATAAAACAATTATTTGGGCTATTACCCTATGGATCCATCACTCATCTCTTCAGTGCTGTAGCAGTTTTTAGTGTAAGTGACAATTCACAATCTCAACTGTATTGTGACCTAAATTTCACTCATGCTATAGTGTTTGGCATAGATTTGGGTAATTTACACATAAAGTAGCTCATGCTAATGATGTACTGGTTTTTAGCAGCAGCTCACTCCATGGCCCAAATGTAACACGCCTGATGGTGGGTGACATGTAGGGCTGCAAATAACATTTAATTTCATTATCAATTAAAATGTTCTTTTTTGACTCATTGATAAATTAGTCAGTGAAAAGTTGACATTTTTCAAAAAATGCCCATCACAGTTTCGTTTGACCTACAATCCATACCCAAAGATGTTACATTTACAATGACATAATAGTGACCGTTTGGCTTTTTTCTAGTTAAATTACATAAATAATAAGCTATTTATCAAAATAACATGTTTGCTGCATGGCTACGTGATTATTACCTGATTATTTTGGCACTGACGGCAACTCTTCACAGTCAAAAGAGAAAAAAGGCTTTTATATATTAAAGACAGAACTAGAGCTGGGGAATAAATTTATATGAGGTATCATGATACAAGATTAGGCTAGAGAAGTCTAGGATTTTGGCTTATGTATTATTGCGCTAAAGCTAAAATGTTGTCATTTAGTTTGAAGGATTGCATTACAGTAAAATGCTATTGTTTTCTGAACTTATTAGATTGTTCTCGTCTAGTAAAATGAAAATAGGATATTAAAATGCTTCTACCTGCTGGGCCATCATAATTACATTCTTAATGCCAGTTGTTCATTGTCATGTGGCAGCATTAGGTTGCAACCATTATGAGCAATGTCATGAAAATACACTGGTCAGCTGAAGCCTTTCTATGTGGCGTGTGTGTGTTGTGTCTGTGAGGGTTTTCTCCCAATGTCCACACACACGCAGGTTTGTTGAACTAGAAACCTGAAATAGCATGTGGGCATGAAACCACAGTGGTCTTTATAGAGTGATGACGTCTGATGTGTAGTGGCACAGACTTAAGCACCTTGCAGCCGTAAACCAAAGAAGGAGACATATCAATATAGGTAATATTTTCAAGACAACACCAAAACTATGAAAAGACACAGCAGGGCTAAAGTTTTCACTGTCTGGTGCATTTGGTGACACTGGTGCATCTGTAGGCCTGTAACGTCCATCATAAAGCCACCATTCAGCCAGACAAAAAGGCTATTGATGCCTCTCCAATGAAACACAACAGAATGCGATGCTGATTGAAGAGAGTCATCAGCGAACCCTAGATGGACATTAAATGTGGTCTCAGAGTAAGACATTAAGGTTTAGTAAAACCAATAACTGAATTAAAAGGTTTTGCGAACCAGCTCAGCTTAGTGGTTGCAATTCTGATTTGATTTGATTTATTCTTTCAAGCATGTAAAGACAGTTGATATGTCAACGCACATAATTTTACACATATCCAACAAATGCTAATCCAATATCAATTTGCTTATACCTAGTACATGCTTGAATGGAGTAGGAAGAAGTCAGACTTATCCAGTCCTACCCCATGACATCATCTTACCATCATTGGTTTGCAAGCAGTATCTCTACATAAATAATTATCTTCTACACCACACAAGTAATATACTAAAGAATTATTACAAAGTGTTAACATTCATACACCACACCCACAATGTTCCATCTAATTAATCATTAAGCCTGTTCTTGCATATATCTTGATTGACACATACCTTTATATTTATGTTTAAACTCATCAATTCTATTACTATTTTTTAT